GTGCAGAGCTGGAAATCAAAGCAGGGCTTTCTGACTTCAAAGTCATACCGCCTCCCACACACCATTGGCCAATAAGAGACAACCGGGTCACAGGTCAGGATGTACGTGCAGGTGGCCATCACAATCAAGTGTGTGATTTTTAAGAACGGTACGTGTGCTCTGGAGTCCCAGGGTCAGGGGTCAGACCACAGAGCGGGCACCCGCCTGTCCCCCAGTCCCTTCCCCTGTGGCACGAGGCGGGGAGGAAACCGATGCACTGCTGGGTGTGCTCACCTGCCACCTCCACGATCTGGTGTCGCGCGATGTCGTAGTAAGGGTCGTCCCACTTGAGGTGTGTCACGGGTTCCGGGGAGCTGCTTTTGGAGTCATCTGAGGAACACGGCAAAGGCAGGGGGTAACCTGGAGGGCTGGCAGTGTTCTCCCTAAGACTCGCCTTCTTTGATCCTCCCCCGCCGACCTCCCCCCTCCCCCCAAGGGCTTGTGCTCCCAGCCCCACCCTGGGGCTGGTCTCCTTGCCCTCCTCCTGCTCTCCTGGGGTCTCCCTCCAACAGGAAGGGAGTCTCCCCCTGACAGGAAGGGAGTCTCCCCTTCTATGGCATGTATGGCTGCCTGAGATCCGGCAGCACCCACCTGACTTGGGGAAGTCGGGCATTTCGTCCGAGGGCCAGTTCTTCTCATCAATGGAGGCTAGCTTCAGCTGGTTCAGAGCCTGGCTGGTGTCATCCAAGGTCAAGTCATCCTGTAACTCTGAAAGCGGGTCCATGACCAAGCCTGTCCCTCACAGCTCCACTCCACAGAACCTGAAGAGAAACCTGGGGTGGGGGGTAGCAAGTCAGGGGCAGCCTCTTTTCCCTTGTGACTTCTACAGCGAGCCCTCCTGATCTCACTCTTTCCTCCCCCAGCCTCCCCTGTTCTTGTTCCTCAACACTTCGCATCCTTGCCAAGAGCTCCATGTAGCCCTGGGTTCTCCACAGGCATGTTGCCAGAAAAGGCAGCTGGGACAGAGGATGGCACAGCTCAGTGCGTGCCCTCAGGTCCTCCAGCTGGATAAGGGACGAACCGTGCCAGGCCCCGTGCTGCCCATTGCCCATCTGCTTCAGCCATGCAGTCCCAGCTGCAGAGGGTAGAAGTCTACGCCCCTCTCCTCAGGGGTCATAGAGCACAGAAGCTTCCTAGACGCCAGCAGTTAGAGGGCAGAGATGTTGCAAGCATCTACAGAGATGTTTCACACCCCATTCATGAAAAAGGTTAATTGTGACTTTAGCTACTCCAGCCCTCACTTTTGTCCCGGGAACAAGAGGTGGCCAGAGACCACAGGGTCCCAGAAAAAAGGCAATACTCAAGGTGCCCAGCTGGGTTTGCCCCAGGACAGGAACAAGAAACAGGTGATGGAATCTGCCTGCCATTCACAGCAGGCAATCTGCGGGCTCCTGGGGGCTGCTAAGCCCACTCTAAACCACAAGTAGCTCCAAATGCTGGTTTCAAGGTGGGAAAGGTCAACAGACTGCCCCAAGGATTGGAGAGCACAGATGGGAAAGGGGGAAGCCCATGGCATCCAGAGTGCTGAGCTCTAGGAGGTGAAAAACAGACAGCCAGTCGCAGCAGACAGAGAGGAAGAGCCAGCTTGGAAGCTGGGCTTGCCCAGGTCTAGGTCTGGCAGCAAGGATGTGGCTGCGTGAAGTCTAAAAGCAGTACCTTCTGCCCTCAGCCCTAAGTGGAGACCCATCCCCCTTCCATCCCAAACTCACCATGTGGGTCAGGGAGGGGATTTAATCCACTTAGTCCAACCCCAGAGAAGAGGCTGCTCTAAGCCCACAACATTCCTAGAGCCCAAAAATGACATATATGGTCAGAGAATCAGCAGGGCAGATAGAGTCCAGACAAGACCAGGCACGGGGAGGGAGAAGAGGGGGTAGCTGCCAGCTAGGATCCAGACCCCAAACACCTCTGGCTTTAAGGCAACATGACAAGCTCCTGCACACATCTCGTCACAGCCAGCTGAGGACTCTGGCTGGTAAACCGGCTCCTTGTGCCTAGCAACAACCACCCTGTTACCAGGGCAACCACACTGATTCAGTGGCAAAAGCCTTTCCAAGCTCCAGAGCCAAAGCCAAGCAGCCAAATAGTCAAACAGCCATAAAACAAAAACCAAAAACCAAAAAGCCTTTCTCTTCCTTTCCTCTGGCCTCTTCTCTGCTACCCTTATTTGCTACTGCTGCTTAACCACCAAAATAGAAGTCCCTTCCATGAGCACAGAGAAAGATGTGTCCCTCTCTTATTTGGGAATGCACTTCTCTCAGTGAGTGCTGCTGTGCCCCACAACCCCGCTCACCCATTGCCCTGCAAGCCCCCAATGCAGGCAACTCTAAATCCTGAGGAATCCACTCCTGATTCATCGACATGCTCCTTCCCCCATTCAACCAGGTGGCCATGAGGATTTCCCAAATGGGAACTCCACTGGGTAACAAGAACAGAATTCAGCACATAGTAACCCCTGTTAGGCCCGAGTCTTCTCTCCATGCCTTCTCTTCTGTCACTGACAGGGCACCAAGTGCTCCATTAGCCCTGCCCACAGCTATCCCAAGAAGTCTTTCTGCACAACAGTGGGTGCTTGACACAATAAGAAAAATGCATGGCAGGGGTGCCTGGGTGGCTCAGTCGGTTAAGTGGCTGACTTCAGCTCAGGTCATGATCTCGCGGTTCGTGAGTTTGAGCCCTGCGTTGGGCTCTGTGCTGACTGCTCAGAGCCTGGAGCCTGCTTCAGATTCTGTCTCCTTCTCTCTCTCTGCCCCTCCCCTGCTGACACTCTGTCTCTCTAAAATAAATAAAGTTTAAAAAAATTTTTTTAAAGGCATGGAACGAGAAATATAGAGAACTGGATAATAGTCCTGCTTGAGCCAATGAGTTGCAAAGATGCTGGGCAAGTCCTTTCCTAACTAGACTTAAATCTCCTTATCTGTAGAAGCACAGACTCCTCCCAGAAACATAATTCTTCAGTATTCTAAAATACTTACACTAAAGTGAACAACAGGGTTAGAAAGAACAGCTGCGAGCTGAAGTATGTATGAGGGAAGGGGAGGGACACCCTCTAAAAGGGAGCTGAACTTGAACTCCACCTCTTTTCCAGTAAATGCTCCTCTATTTTGTCTGTTCTTCCAGAACTGCCCCCTCCCCCGCTCCATAACCTTCTTTTCCAGCATAACTAATCACAGTTGTTTCCACCTCCCAGCCAGACCGGCCTCCAACCCACAGCTGCTTCCCCCTGTGAGCCCTGAAGTTTAGCTCCCACTCAGTGGGAGGGTAAGGGAAACTGGCTCAGGGAAATTATAATATAAAGGGGTGGCCATGAAGTATCCTGGCTGCTAAGATCTTTTACAAAGATCTCTGAGAATCATTTTAGGCAGAGGTTTTCACCTCTGGACTTCTCTGAAATTCTGATGAAATCTGTGGACTTTTTCCCTAAGAAAAATCAGCACATGCATGAAATCTTCTATGCAATTTTAAGGGGTTCATAAGCTCTCTGAAAATCTAAGAATCCCTGACCTATTCAGCACACAGATGCTGTCATTTGTTGAATGAGTGAATGAATGAATTCATCTCCTAAATGGAAAAGGGAACCAGTATTTGTTGAGGGCCTATTTAGCACCATAAAGTAGACAAATTACCTTTTAACTTCACAGCAGCACCAGTGAGGTTTGCACTACCAAGCCCATTTTACTCTGAGGAAAGTCAGGACCAGAAAAAAGAAACACATTGTTTAGGCGGGCCATAAAGCTGACTCAAGATTTTAATCTATATCTGTATAAAAGGGTCTCTTGATGCAGGTCAATCCCTCAACACTTTTCGAAATGACTGTCATTCATGTGATTCTGAAGGTTCAGAGAGGTGCCATGAAAAAATAAAGGTTCTCCTGTAATCTTCACGAAGAACTGAGGTAACTAGAAATCTTATTCTCTGGCATTGGGACCGCCCTCCTGGTTGGGGCTCCCGAATTGCGAAAATGCAAATCCCACGATACAATAGCGAGACTTTCAACTACAAACGCATTTGTACAGAGCTTCATGGTTTACAAAACCCGCAATTATTCCATTTCAGAGATTAAGAAATAGAGATGAAAGCATGGCCTAATTAGTGGCAGGCCGGAATACTTCCCCCCAATTTCTTGCTCTTAGCGCTTCGCCACTTGGGACCAAAGAGACTTCCCCTTCCCGTGGGCTTGCTCGATGACAGCGATCTGACTTAGACTCTGCCCTGGGAAGTGCAGGAGGAAAGTAGCAAAGGACACGAAGTCTCCTCGGTGCAGACCCGGGAGTGGGGCTGAAACCCGCTGTGGGAAAGAAAGCCAGGCTCCTAGGCCCCATACCACTCCTGCTCCCTTCCTAGGATCCGCTCGAATCATCCCCCTCCGGACCCTATCCCTTCAGGTGACCTGTCTAGTCCCTCCCTTCCCCCCCCCCCACCTCCACCCAGGAAGACCCCTAGCCCCGCAGCTCACCGTGATCGGGCACTGCTCCCTGTGCCACGCCTGTCAAAGCTCGGCAAACATCCGGCTCCGCGGTAGCACGGGAACCGCCCCCTCCCGGGCTCCTCACTCCCCAACCACTTCCGCCACACCTCCAACCCACTTCCGGCCCGCTGCCAGGTCCAAACATGGCTTTCCAGGATCCCCGCCCACTTTCCTGCACGTGCCGGCTTAAATGCCCGCCTTGGGGAGAGACAGCATAAATGTCCGGCCCGTCCCTCCCAAAAGGAGGGGATTGGAACAATTAGTTCCGTTTTCCCTGAAGCTGAATCCCTAGTGGTCCGCTGGAATCCTGTGGTTCTTATTGTTGTCAGACGGAGTTTTGCCTCGCCGATATTCACAACTCCCGGTTCTGTGTACCCATGAGTCTGACTCTTCGGATTCTTTCCCGACAAGAAATTTGGAAGACAATGACTGTTTCCGGGAGGAGCGGAGAAGAAAACGCTCACTTCCGGCGGAAGGAGGCTTTTCTGGAGGGATGGAGGAGGCAGCAGAGTTGCTTTCCGAAGGCGAGAGACTGCAGTGTGGTTAGTGACCTGCTACGTCTCTGACCCTCGGCCCCGGGCTTAGATGGACCTGACGTTTCCTGGTCAACTCTGCCCCCAGGCCCTTTTCCTCCCTAGCCCGGAATCATCTTCGGGTGCCCTCAGACGTCTCTGGGGGGGGGGGGGGTTCAGAGTCCTGGAACACCCTCAACCCTCCGAGAGTCTCCCTTAAGAGTCCTAACATCCCTCAGACCGCCAAGGCCTAGGTGGACCTACGGTTTCCTCCCGCATCTGTCCCCACCCTCACGACCGTCTGGGCCGCTCCCTCACTGCCTTCCCGTTTCCCTGCAGCCCCCGACCCGCGCCTGCGCCCGGATTTAGAATGGATCCCTTCTGGACAAGGCTGTGCTCAGGGCCTCAGAGATTCCCCGCCCGGGCTGGCACGGGCCTTCCTCGCTCTAAAGAGCCTTCCCCGGGGCTTGGCCCTTGGCCCTTCACTCGCCGAGGAACAGTGTTTGGGGGTCTGGTGTGTCGGGGAGCCCCTGCAGCCGGGACTGCTCTGGGGGCCGCTGGAAGAGGAGTCTGTCTCCGAGCAGAAGGAGGAAGGAGTGAAGCCACGGCAGAAGGAGGTATTAAAAGATAGGGCGTGTCATCTTCATGACAAATCTTGCAAGAGGTTCAGCCATTTCTAGACAGCTCTTCAGTTTGTTAGAAGCAGGGCATTTCAAGAGATAGGAGATGGTTTTGCCCCTTCTCTCCGGGACTGTCTCTTCCCCTCACTTGCAGTAGTTAAGGAATCAAGGCACAAAAAGTGCCGAAAGCTGGATTAATTGGTGTCGGTAGTGATGAAAGTCAAGAGCAAAGGTGCTTAGAATTTAAAAGCCGTGGAATCAAATCCCAGCCTTGTCACTTTGCCAGTTAAATGGATGCCTCTTTTAATTCATTTGTAAAATTAAAAAAATAACTGTTTCCTGGTTGTTGTTGTTTTTTAAATTTCCAGGGTTATTTGGAGCAATAGATGAAATAGTGCAGGTGTAGGGTTTCACTGCATAGTAAGTCTTAAAAAGTAAAGTTGATGTTACTACTTTTTATTGTTTGGTACTCACTGGAAGGCAGTAGCGTATTCAATTTAGTAATATTCCACACATTGAGAGGGAGGTGAGGGGAGACTATTTTGGCCTTTACTGAATGAAAAATCAGACAACACAGTCCTGTAGAGGCAGAAGCAGAGACCCTTAACCTTCCAGGGGGTGCATGATCTATCTCAGGAGAGGTTACATCACTTCCCCCCCCCCCCCATCCTGGTCCCCAAACACATGGGAGAAGGACTCTTATTGGTTTATTTCAGGACGTGTCACTAGGCCCCTGGGGAGACGTGTGTGCTTGTGAGCAGAGTTCAGGCTGGATCAGGTAAGTTACAGGAGAGTATGCAGTGAACATAGCCCTTTGAGGCTTTCTGTTATGGCATGAGGTGGAACCAGAAGCCCACTGTAATTCCCCACCCAGCGATTTTCTTTTCTTTTCTTTTTTCGCAGTGAGTGTTCCAAAGGCATGGGGTCTTTTAGGACTCAGACTGCCCAGGAACTGGGGCTTTGGGGAGGGCCACTTGAAGAGGGTCTCCTGAGCTAGCTCTTCCTCTGCTTTGCAGTCTGGTGCAGCGGGGCAGGCTGGAAGGTGAGGGAAACGTAGCCCTGGTGCGGATCAGCGAGAAGCTCCATCTGCAGGTGTACCGGGTTGTGCTGCCAGGCTTTGAGTTGTTGCTGTGGCCCCAGCCTCCCTCTGATGGCCTGAACCCCACCCAGCCCAGGCTAGAAGAAGAGGCAGCCTTGGCTGTGGGGACAGAAGTAGACTCCGCTATACAGCAGGAAGTGGACTCCCCTGGGGAGGATGCGGCAGAACCTTGGACAGGTATGTATCAGATATAACGCTCGCTTCCCAAATTAACACCGGATCAACCTGTTGGCAAGACAAGGCAACACTGTGGCTCAGGGAGGTAAAGGAGAGCATCACAGAGTTTTTAATAGCTTTTCTGAGGTGGAGGCTCAAAGCCTGGGTATTTACTGAAATTTTGAAGTCTGATCTTTCAGTGTGGAATGGGACAGGGCTTGATCAGGATTGAGTGAGGATCATGACATAATAGTTTAGGATTCGTGGACACATGGCTAGAATTTTCAGTAAGAGGCTCAGAGAGTCTTTGGGTGTAACCTGTCATTTGATGCTTTCTATTGCAGAGTGGTTGAGTCTTTTACTTACAATGAACAGTATTGATATTCGCAACTTTTTTCTTCCTGAGTAAGTTTTCTGGAATAGTAAGGTCATGTTGAGGAAGACAGCAAGCTGTGTATAAGGTTTCCAGTTTCTCGTGTTTCTTCTCTCTGGGGTGAGGGTAGAGGTTCCTTTATTTTCACATGAATTAAGGTGAGGAGGTGGTGGCCTAATTCATCCTAAGTGTGCGTCTCCAGAGGGAGAATAGGGGCCCCTGGGATAGCCTTGTTCTAGGACTATCCAGAGGTTTGGGGCACTGGGGGTCCCAAGAGTGCTTCCCCAGGAGGCACCTGAGACTGGACATGAAGGTCAGCAGAGCATGTAGTTCATGTTCTAGGCAAGAGATTGGTGTCATTGCTTCTGCTGAAGTTCAGCTTCAGGGGCTGAGTAGGAGGAGACACATACTCTTAGAATTTCCTAGTGACACCACCGCCACCCCCTGCCACAGTTTCTACTAACCCCAGCACCCCCACTCTTGCCTTGCAGATCCTGATCACCAGTCACCGCCCAGCATCCAGGCAGAGAGTATGGAAAGCCCCGGACCTAAGCCTCAAACCCAGGATCAAGTTTCCAAGGCGAGCCAAGCACTTGGCCTGCTCCCTCAAGGTGGCAGCATGGGTGAGGAGGACCCAGCCCAGACACAGATGTCACCAGAGCCTCAGAGCAGCTCCGCCACCCAGCAGGGCCCAGACAGCAGTGAGGCCAGTTCCTCATCTTCTGCCAGGGGCTCCCACCTGCAGACTTACCTGGTCAAGAAGTTATGTGGCCCCAGTGACCAGTGCCCACCCAGAGCAAAGACCTCAGAGTCCAGGGCCCAGCAGGCGGGGGAGCAGCAACAGCCCGGCCTCCCTGCACGCTTACGGAGCCCCCCTGGCCCAGCAGGAAGCTCCCCAAAACAGAGGCGACGGTACCGGTGTGGGGAGTGTGGCAAAGCCTTCCTGCAGCTGTGCCACCTGAAGAAGCATGCGTTCGTGCACACAGGCCACAAACCCTTCCTCTGCACTGAGTGTGGCAAGAGCTATAGCTCAGAGGAAAGCTTCAAAGCCCACATGCTGGGCCACCGCGGGGTGCGACCCTTTCCTTGCCCACAATGTGACAAGGCCTACGGCACCCGGCGAGACCTCAAAGAGCACCAGGTGGTACATTCAGGTGCCAGGCCCTTTGCCTGTGACCAGTGTGGCAAGGCCTTTGCCCGCCGGCCCTCCCTGCGACTGCATCGCAAGACCCACCAGGTGCCGCCTGCCCCTGCCCCATGCCCGTGCCCTGTGTGTGGGCGCCCCCTGGCCAACCAGGGCTCTCTGCGCAACCACATGCGGCTCCACACAGGAGAAAAGCCCTTCCTGTGCCCACACTGTGGCAGGGCGTTCCGCCAGCGGGGCACCCTGCGTGGTCACTTGCGGCTGCACACAGGGGAGCGGCCTTACCGCTGCCCACACTGTGCCGATGCCTTTCCGCAGCTGCCTGAGCTGCGGCGCCATCTTATCTCTCACACCGGGGAGGCCTACTTGTGTCCCGTGTGTGGGAAGGCCCTCCGAGACCCACATACACTGCGTGCTCATGAGCGTCTACACTCAGGGGAGAGGCCCTTCCCATGCCCCCAGTGTGGCCGTGCTTACACACTGGCCACCAAGCTGAGGCGCCACCTCAAATCCCACCTAGCCGACAAGCCCTATCGCTGTCCCACCTGTGGCATGGGCTACACCCTCCCCCAAAGCCTCAAGCGGCACCAGCTCAGTCACCAGCCCGGGGCACCCTCCAGCCCACCCGGCATGCCTCCTGCTGCTTCTGAGCCCACCGTGGTACTAGTGCAGACTGAGCCAGAACTGCTAGATACGTGCGATGAACAGGACGTCTCCCCTGCCCGGGACGTCTTCGAGGTCACCATTTCTGAGAGCCAGGAGAAGTGCTTTGTGGAGCCAGGCCCCGCCTCCAGCCTGGTGCTCGTCCATAAGGACATGGGCTTTAGTGCCTGGGCAGAAGTGGTGGAGGTGGAGACGGGCACCTAACCCCCCACCTCCCCGAGCAGAGTTCTGCATAAAGCTAGTGTTTTCTAGCTGCTGGGCGTCTGTGTCTTTCTCTTTGGGTTGCCTGACGGAGTCTATTCTGAGAAGCAGGTCAGGGATTTCCCCTCCTGCTTATGGACCACCACATTGTTTCCCAAGACTGTAAGGTGACCCTGTTCTAGACTTAAGAGCTTTTTACTGACTTCCGGTAGAGTGCATTCCGCCTCCTTCACCAGGAATTGCTCAGGGTGCTTGTTCTTTAAACACAGTGGAAGTGACCCCACCCACTGAGGTAGTCAGGGAGCTGGCAGCAGGACTGCCCTGCCGGCTGCTTAGAGCTGGCATCATCACCCACCGAGCTCCCTGAGGGACAGGCACTTCCATCTAGGACCAGACGGAATCATTGGAGGGTTAAAATGCCAGAGGCTGAGCTCAGCTCATAGGTCCCTCTAACTCGGGCTATAGGTGGTTTTGGCAACCCTTTTTACCCTCTGAGGGCTGTTAAGTTGGTTTTCTTTCTGTGCTGATAGACACCAGACTCACTGGAGGCGGCTAGGGCCAGGTCTGGACCCTTCTGTGGGCTTGGGCCACCCAAGAGTCACATCCTGATGTGCATAGACCATCAACCAGCACCCTGGGTCCTGGGATACAGCTGTAAGCAAGGGAAAGGCGATGCCCTTTACAGAGCTCACCATCTTCTAGGGCGGAAAGCGTTGGATGGGAGTCCAGATGGTCACTAGCTCGTGCTACAGGGACGTGTTAAGAGATGATTTTAACTTGGTCTGGGGCATCAGGGACAGCATCCTCCAGGAATAATAGTGATTAAATAAACACTCCACCCTTATTGTGGGCCAGTTCTTTGGGTTTATATAGTCCTCATGACAACGATGTGAGGTCGGTAGTAGTAACACTCTGGTTTTACAGATGAGGAAACCGCTTTAAGCGTCCTGCTCAACATGGCAGAGCCGCTAGGCGACAGAGCGGAGACTCAGACTGTCACAGCCCAGTGCTGGAGTAAGGCTGTTAAGCTCGGCGCTGCTGTGAGCCGATGCACGAGAGGGTGCAAGAGAAGGTGGAGGTGCGGGGAGCTGTGTGTGAAAAAGCCCTGGAGTGAGAGTCCGGTGGACGTGAACGACAGAACAGTGTGGCTGCAGCAGAGGGGAGGGGGCAGGGCCAGGCCGCGCAGCCGTGGCTTTAGGAGCTGGAGCCGTGTTTTCAGGACATTGAGAAGCCCTTGGAAAGGTTTTGAGAAGGGGACTGACGTGACTAGATTTGTGTTTGTATATGTGCTGCCGAAGCGAGCACTCTAGATTGTGTTTGAAGAGACCACTGAGGGCTGGATCGGCTGGCAAGATGTGGTTGTGGGGACATCAGGAGGCTGCTGAGGTGGTGGGGAACGGGGTGGTAGCAGAAGAAGTGCAGAGAAATGGAATCATTTAGCTGACACATACGAGTGCCCTTGATGCGTGCTAGTTACGGATGTAGTGTCGAAAGAGTCTGCTCTCAGGGCGCCTGGTGGTTCAGTGGGTTAAGTTTCAGCCTCATCTCAGGTCATGATCTCGTGGTCCTCGGTTCGAGCCCCGCATCGGGCTCTGTGCTGACATCTCGGAGCCTGGAGCCTGCTTCAGATTCTGTGTCTTCCTCTCTCCCTCTGCCCCTCCCCTGCTCACGCCCTGTCTCTGTCTCTCAAAAATGAAGAAATGTTAAAAAAAAAGAAAAAAGAAAAGAAAGAAAAAGAGTCTGCTCTCAGGGTTACATCCTGAGGAGCATAGACAATAAACAAATACATCCCACGTGATGGTAAATGCAGTGAAAAAAAGTCACGCAGGAGGAGAGGTTAAATGGGAAGCGTGATTTTACAGACGGTGGTCAGGGAAGGCTTCTAATAACATGAACAGGAGCAGAAACCTGAACTGTGGAGAGGACTGAGCCAGCTTGATGTCTGTAGAAGGAACTGGATTCCAGGCAGAGGGAACAGTACTGACAAAGCCCCATGGGTTCAAGCAAGAGCAAGAAGCAGAGTGGCCAAGGCAGAGGATGGAAAGGGGTGAGAGCAGGTTGGAGAGTAGGTGAGGACTTTGGGCAGATACATTGCCAGAGACGGAGAAGGGACAGAATGCGTGAGCGGAGGGGAGGAGGGAGAGCTGAGTCCCAGTTTCTGAGTTAGCACACTGAACGGCACTGGGATGGGAGCGAGACAGTGAGGATTTTGGTTGGGGATGCGCCAAGTCTGGAGCACCTACAGTAGAGCTCACAAGCAAGCCGTCAGGAGTCGGCAGGGTGTGGGGAGGAGAGTCTGCCCTAGAGGGAGTCACGCAGACTCACGACAGGGTGGGCATGAAGCTGTGGGAGTAGGGGGATCAGAGGGGAGAGGCCCCGTCCTTGTCCTCAGATTCACTTAGAGGAGGAAGGCTCTGCAGGGGACGTGAAATCTACATCCAACCAAATAGAAAGCCCTGCAGACTATATGTCAGAAGTAGATAGAAAAGCGTTTCGCCAAAGAAGTGAGTAAGAAGGTCCCCTGCTGTCTGGGGGCTTGAGCTTTGTGAGGAGCTGAGTGAGGGCAGTGGGGGGCCACAGCGGATTGTTTTGAGGTGAGCAGACGGCAAGAGAGGCAGGAAGAATTTATATTCTTGTTCCGTTCTTCTGTCCTGCACCATAGGTGTTGTGACCCGTTTCACAGATGAGGAGAACCGCGGGTTGGAGTGGGTAAGTAGCTGGCTGAGATCACACTGTCCGTAAATGGCAGAGTCAGGATTGAAACATCGAGTGTTCTCTCACTTCCCGGCACTTGACCACAGCGTCCTAGGCAGCCCCGCGTCTCCTGCTTTGCTGTTGGCGTTTACCCAGCACCTGCCCAATCTGAATAACATCTTGACAAAGCATCATTCTGAAATTATCCCTGGGGAGTGAGGGTAGCAGGAAATCGAGGCAATGGATGGAGAGAAAGGTCATACCGTCCAAGGCCTTGAGAAACAGTGGCTAATACTTAGTTTTGAGTCACCCAACTCTTGGAGCCTCCATGAGGCTTGGTAGCTCCTAGTTTCTGGCTCCTGCTTCAGGCAGGCTCATGCCAATTCAGGTGACTGCTTAGCAGTCAGTGTCTGCCCAATGTTTTTAGGTATCCTGGGGACATTCTCACTCGATACTGAGCTGTGCAGGGAAGGACATACTCATCGCTTGGTAGTGGACTGTGTGGGCAAGCGGGGCATGCTTTAGGTTGCTGGGGAGGCCTGTCACCCCACAACTCTACTTAGGCCATCACCTGGGACGCTCACATCCCCTACCTACATCTGCCACACAAATGGAGAACTTTTCTCTCCAATAAGGCCATCCCTAGTGATACAGAGCAGGGTCAGATCAAAGGCAATAAATCCAAAGGCACGTGATGTGGGCTCCTCTATTCTGCCAACACTTGTGGTTAAGAGGAGAGTGGGCATCAGAGAGCCCTGTCCAAGCTCCCCATGTTCTGGATGAGGAAATGGAGGCCTCGAGAGGAGTCGTTTGCCAAGGCCTGAGATCAGTTTGTAGCAGAACAAGGACAGAGCCCCGGTCTTCTGACCCCTAATTTAGTGCTCTTCCGGTCAAAATAAAATGCAGTGACTACTTAAAAAGACTGATCACTGGAATAATGGCTTTTGTTGGGGAAATCTTTTCCCCTGATGTCAAAATAATTCTTGTTCATCCTAATGGTAACATCTCTTTATTCCTTACTTCTTTTCTCCATTACCAGATCAAGTTACTTTTTAAAAAATAACCTTTTAAAAATATTCATTCATTCATTCATTCATTCATTCATTCATTCATTCATTCATTCATTCTGAGAGCGAGCATACCAAGCAGGCTCCGCACTGTGGTTGCAGAGCCTGATGCGAGGCTTGAACCCATGAACTGTGAGATCATGACCCAGGGCGAAATCAAGAGTTGGACTCCAGGCACCACTAGATAAAGTTACTTTTAACAGTTTGGTGTATATTATAGTGCTGACTTGAATGCTGCTTCTAGCAAGATGGCAAAGGTGCTGTGAAAATGTTGCTGGGCACCTTACATCTGGATGCAGGTTTGCGTGGTGTCTATAGCTCCAAAACCAGACATCGGAAGGTGCAGGAGATAAAGAATCTTTTATCTCCATTTGCAACTTAAATAGTATGAGAAAATCTTACAGTAGAATAAAATTTGAATCGTGTTTAGAGACCTATAAACCATGCAAAGCATCATGCACTGTAAAGAGTTCCATATCTAGACAGGTTCAGGTGTGGCTCGTGGCTGTGCTCTTGACTAACTGCATAAACTCAGGCAGGGTACTTGACTTCTCTGTGCCTCAGTTTCCTCCTCCGCAAAATGGGGATGCTTATGGTACCTACCTCATCAGTACTATGTACCCTGCACATGGTGAGCAGTTAATACATTGTAGCTGATTAGTAGTAGTATTGTCCTCAGCCTTTCTAGATTAGAAGAGGAGATTAAGGTGCTTGCATGTTTCTTTTAGGTGTTGCTTGTTTGGGGCAGGTCAGCCTCACTCACGATAGTTTTGTACTTTGGGTGCGTGTTCACTGGGCGTGCTTCATAGGACAGTGAGGCTGTACTCTAGCAGAATGTCAGGGAGGGACAATTATGGGAGGTGAAGAGCAGTGGTCTTGAGAGGCAGGAGTTCTGGCTCATCACTGACTCTCTACAACCTTGATCAATTAGCTCGCCACCTAGGGGACTCCCTTTCCTCACAGTGACCTGGAGAAATTGGAACAGATCAGTGCTTCCCAATCTCAGCTCCACCATTGAGCCCTTTTGCTAACTTTTTCTTCTATGGATTCTATATTTTAAAGGCTTTTAGTTAAATAGAAACTGACTCATTTTTAAACGCTGATCAGATTGAGGGGGAAAAAAAACCAAAGTAATTAACCACCTCAAAAGACAATTCCAGCCAAAAAGGAAAAATAATTTTTTTTGTCTTAAGGTAAATTTACAATTTTTAAAAAATAAAAGGGTTTAAAAATTTTACAAATTAAAAAAAAATTACAAAAAAATTTTACAATTTAAAAAAAATAAAGGG